TGTTGCCCAGGCTGAAGTGCAATGGCGCGATCTTGGCTCACTGCAACTTCCGCTTCCTGGGTTCAAGTGATTCTCCTGCCTCAGCCTCCTGAGTAGCTGGGAATTATAGGCGCCTGCCACCACACCTGGCTAATGTTTCGTATTTTTAGTAGAGATGGGGTTTCATCATGTTGACTGGTCTCTAACTCCTGACCCCAGGTGATCCACCCACCTCAGCCTACCAAAGTGCTGGGATTATAGGCGTGAGCTACTGCGTCTGGCCCAGTCCTTTATTTTTAACTATAACCAAAGGCTATTTACTATCAGGATAGTCCTTAGCACATAACACACCTTTGTCAAATTGTATGATACTAGGTGGCTGTAGCCACTGTAGCCCAGCAGCTAGCAAGTGGGGGGCAGATTGCACTTCAGTCCCTGCTTGCCTCTTTGGCAGGTGCACATAAACCAAATCCCCCATACAGTGGCTCTGTTTACCAGCAACCTTACTAAATGAATTACTAAGGTTAACTAATGATTGCTACTTACAAACTATAGTTGGCATGTTCTTAGTATTTCCCAATGACACTTTCAGAATTCTTTCCAAAACACTTCATTGTTGTTCATCAGTGCGGTTTTTCCTGTTCTTGTGAATGTACTATAGCCAGGATTTCCCTGGCACTTGGGCTCTGGTCAGAGAAGTTTGATATTTCTTGTACTGTGTGTTATAAGCAGCCTCCTTTAGGTGTGGGTGTTTCTCTAGATAGTAGAGGGGGCCACATCTTTTATCATAACTTTTATCCCTGCATGTTATATCTTAAGTGTAAATCTAGGTACAAGCATCAGAGCCTTAATATTTTAATGAAAACTAATATTAGCTATCAATAATCAAGAGAATTCCAGAACACTAATAGTTATTACCAGAGTTATGCTGACAAGTTATTACCAGAGTTGTACTGACAATAGTTATTACCAGAGTTGTGCTGGCAATCAATTATCTGAAAAGGCAAAACCTTGATTTCTGGTGTTTGTCAATTTCTGTAGTGTGAAAACTTCCACCGCAGCTTGATTTCAGGCCGTCTCTGCATTGATGTCACTGAACATGGAGTTGGGAAGACATACATACAATTGTCTTCAGCATAGCCCTGGATCACAATGTATGGCTACCACATAAAATAGGACATTGATCCTTTTATTTTACGTTTCGTGATAATCTTGAAACTTGATTTTCAAAGTTCAAAGAATAACTAGTCCAAAAGAGTATCTAGTAGGCAAACAATGACCACAATCTTGAGGTCTGTCTGTAAATTATTATTATTATAATTATTATTTTGAGACAGGGTCTCACTCTATTTCCAGGCTGGAGTGCAGTGATGTGATAATGGCTCACTGCAATCTTCATCTCCCAGGTTCAGGTGATCCTCCCACCTCAGTCTCTTGGGCAGCTGGACTACAGGTGTGTGCCACCATGCCCAGACGATTTTTGTATTTTTGGTAGGGACAGAGTTTCACCATGTTGCCCAGGCTTATCTTGAACTCTTGGCCGCAAGTGATCTGCTTACCTTCGCCACCGGGAGTGCTGGGATTACAAGCATGAGCCACCATGTCTGGCCTGTATGTTATTTTATCTGCAATCTATGAAGATGAATGGCTCCTACTCCACAGATGTTATTTTGCTCTTGTAGTCTAGGCTGGAGTCCAAGGGCACGATCTCGGCTCACTGCAAACTCTGCCTCCGGGTTCGAGTGAATCTCCTGCCTCAGCCCCCCGAGTAGCTGGGATTACAGGCACCCACCACCACATCTGGCTAATTTTTTTTTTTTTTTTTTTGGTATTTTTAGTAGAGATGAGGTTTTACCATGTTGGCCAGGTTGGTCTCGAACTCGGCCTCATGTGATCCACCTGCCTTGGCCTTCCAAAGTGCTGGGATTACAGGCGTGAGCCACTGTGCCTGGCCCAGGGATGTTATTTTGAAAAGGATACCTTTTATTTAGAAAATAGTAAGTGGTTTTCTTAATAAAGATATCACTGTGGGCACTTACATATTTTCCATCTTTTCAATGTGCAATGTCCTTTTTCCACTGGAATTTTGCTTATCTTTGCTACCTCCAGCTGGTATTTGCCTTTCAAGAACTGTGGTGCCAACCAAGTATATCCCATTTTTATGCTTCATACCTTGGGTATCACATTCACTCTTGTAATTTGGAATAATACTTTGGACCTCCATGGTAGCTGTAATTTATCAGTGAATTTTTTCTGTAGTTATGAAGGAATGATACATTTTACTTTTTTTCTTTTCATTTGAGAGTGTCATGTTTTCTTGAACATTAAATTGACATTGTTGACAGTACTTTGTGTTATCTGGCAAAGCAATAACCTGGGAGCATGACCCAGCCTCTCATTGACTCCTTTGAGTTTTTTATTTCTAATAACAATTTGGAGAAAGAGAAATGTGAATTCTTTTCCATCTGCTTTCCTTTAGCATGCTATTCCTCTTTACTTGAAGGGGGTAGGTAACTGGTAGACATGCATTTTTACTGAACGTATTTGTGAACTCATCTTTTGTAATTTTATCTTGAAGATTCTAATAATCTGCCTCCACAGCTCCCTTTCTCCCCTACCTCCTTTTTAATAGGTTTCCACAGTGACTGCCCTGGGGGACTTAATTGTTTTCCTGTGTTGCAATGTTCCAGATTGAATTATGCTAAAAATATAAATAAGGAATTTGCCTTTAAGCAAAGGTAAACCAGTTCCCCAGTAGCAATGGTTTGTTTAAATTTCAGTGTTGACAGATGACAAATATTTTCAGTGATCCCAAATACCACACTTCATAGAATTGTATGAAGAATCAGAATCTAACTCAATATTTTTCCAAATGGTGGTCTTCAAAATGTTCATCTAGGGACTTCAATAGCTGCAGGAAGAAAAATTCGCTCCGTGATCAAATATATTTGAGAAATGCAGCGTACTCTATTTTCTTTTGAAAAGGTATAACACTTGTTTACCCATTAAAGTCAGTAGTCCAGTAGTTTTAAAAAAACTGACAAATCCTCTCCTCTCTCTCTCTCTCTCTCACCCACACACACATGCACACACACACACCTACACACACACAACTTATTTGACCCAGTGTTTACCAAATATTTGAGAAATTTTTCTTCACACCATATCCATAAATATCATTTGAAAGAGTGTTCTGTGTAATACCAGTTTGGGAAATTTGCTGTAAACTCACTGACTCGTGATGACCATATGTGGACTCTTGTAGGTTTCATTGTTGTACTCATGATGGGAATGTGCAGCATTTTAACACTATTTAAGCAGCAGACTCTAAAACTCATTCTAAGAGCAAATAAAATTATTCTTGGATTCATCCATGTACATAAATATGATTGTGTTTCCTGAAAGAAAAGTTGTTGAGGGCCATTTTACTTCTTGTTAACATGTCACACATATGTCAGAGGAGAAAGTTTGGCATATAGATCTATCTTTTAATCAGTAAGAATTGTGTGGCACTAAGTCAGGAAAGTCTTATCCTTTTTTTTTTTTTTTTTTTTGAGATGAAGTCTCACCCTGTCACCCAGGCTGGAGTGCAGTGGTGCGATCTTGGCTCACTGATCTCGGCTGACTGCAACCTCCGCCTCCCGGGTTCAGGTGATTCTCCTGCCTCAGCCTCCCGAGTAGGTAGGATTACAGGTGCATGCCTCCAGGCCCAGCTAATTTTTGTATTTTTAGTAGAGATGAGGTTTCACCATGTTGGCCAGGCTGGTCTCGAACTCTTGACCTCGTGATCCACCCGCCTGGGCCTCCCAAAGTGCTGGGATTACAGGTGTGAGCCACCGCACCTGGCGAAAGTCTTATTCTCATTATTGCATATTGTTGGTTATCAATGAAGTTGTGAGTATTGCAGATCTATATGTGCAACTATGCAGTGTTTTAGAGAAGACTTGGTGGAGCAACTATAGCTTGTGAATACACTATACAGAAGACTGGAAATGTCTTATTAAAGGGATGAAATTCCTTGGGAGCTAAAGCATCTTTCATGACCCTTATCTGATAAAAAATAAATCAAAGATTACAGTTTGTGTAATAGAGAAAGCCAGAAATATCACTTAAACTAATTTAATCATTTTAATGCCAAAGCAAAAGATAGTCTTTCAAAAAATTTTTGATAATAACAGAAAAGTAGACAAAAAATAAAATTCACCCACAGTGACATCACCTAAATAGAAACATTGCTAATACTTTAGCGGTAGTTCCTTTTAGCCCTTTTTTGTGCATTAGATTTTGTTTGTTTGTTTGTTTTGCTCTGCTTTTTTTTTTTTTTTTGAGACGGAGTCTCGCTCTGTCGCCCAGGCTGGAGTGCAGTGGCCGAATCTCAGCTCACTGCAAGCTCCACCTCCTGGGTTCATGCCATTCTCCTGCCTCAGCCTCCCGAGTAGCTGGGACTACAGGCGCCCACCACCTCGCCCGGCTAGTTTTTTGTATTTTTTAGTAGAGACGGGGTTTCACCGTGTTAGCCAGGATGGTCTCGATCTCCTGACCTTGTGATCCGCCCGTCTCGGCCTCCCAAAGTGCTGGGATTACAGGCTTGAGCCACCGCGCCCGGCCTGCTTTGCTTTGTTTTTAAACAGAATACAGAGACATATTTACTGTGAAAGTAATAGATCTGCAACTTCAGTTCCCCTCACTTGCGAAAAAGGGCTCTTAAGGCTCAGGAGAGACACTAGCAATAGGTTATCATGGTCACGTGTTTTTGTAAACTTTGCAGAAGTAAGGTCAGTTAACTGAAATTATTAAGACTGCTCTCTTTCTCCACTCAGACTTCCATCCATCATGCTTCTTCTCACATCAGGTGGTAACGAAGTGGCAGCAGGCATTCTGGGGATCTGTCTAAAAGAAGATGAGTTGTGGATGCATTTCGATAGGTTTTGTTTAAATGGTTCACAGTCGCTTCCGCGGAAATGATGTCCAAGAAGACTTCTTTCTGCTGACCTGGCTGGTGTTCTGACTTGATGTTGCAGGGCCCGAAGTTGTATTGCAGTATGCACACGTCCTTTGATGCCTGGCACAGAGAAATGTGAGTAGCAGAGAAAAAACAAGATTTGATGTTTTTGGAACCAAAAGTTAATATGGGGGAAAGTCTTCCAATCAGCCGACATGAACAATGGTAAGTGCATGATTTAATTCTTATTGATGCCTAGTCAAACCACCAGAGAACTGCAGAGAATTGTAATTCACCAGAATTATAATGACACTGAATATGTAATTCAAAATTCTGTCATTTTCACTGGAAAATTATATCACTAGAATTTTCCACGTGAAAATGGCCTTTGTAAATCTTTTATATGCTGTCATAATATTCAATGTAGCTTAAGTCAGCGCAGAGTTTTGTGTTGGTATCCTACTCTGTGTGATGAACTGTACTCCACAACATAATTCTGTTCTGGACCAACTCTAACACAAGTTTTCCTCTCTTGGTGCACTTTCTCTGGCTCTGCTTCTGTCTCTCAAGTTCAGTGATTCCCTTTTCCTAGAATACCTTTCCTTTCTGTTTCTGCCTGGTAAATTACTCTCTGTCTTTTTAGATCTGGCTCATATCTCATCCTTTTTATCCACAAGGCTTGACTCCATGAATAATTAGTGTTCCCATAACACGCATCTGTGATTGCCTCGTAGTGCATGATGGTTTTAATTTATCCATTAGGTTATTATTTCTACATTGTCATTATTGTTGATATTTATATTGTGTAATGTAACAATAATTTTCACATATATTTACACTTACTTTTACATTTATATTGATTTAGTAGTCACTGCCATACTTTATAATGATGTTCTTTATTATTTTCTTGGATGGCCATACCATAATTCTGTTTCCTAGAAAGGCTTGTGAAACTGTCTTGTATCAAATAGTTCTCCTGGGACTTGAAAATTAATCATCATTTGAATTAATCAACAATTAAATTTATTTAAATTAATCATTAATTCATTAGTTACTTAAACTACTGTTATGGGAGACTTCTATTTTATCTTTGAATTTTTCTGTTTGACTTTTTTTATCTTCCTCAGGATACAGCGAGTGCTCTTCTTTAGCTGTCTTCCATAATTAACATTTATCCTTTGTTAATTAACAAAACTAGTTCTTTTTCTTTCAATATGCTCAATTTTCTTAAGCTTTCTTCTATATGTTCTTGACGTTTTCTTTTAGTAATTTCTGTGTCTAATGTGACCATCACGTTGTTATGTTTTATATTCTCTATCACTTCATCTCCTTTATTAAAAAAAAGTCATTTCCCCCTGAGTTTTTATGTTTTTTCTTTCTGCTCTCCTTTTTTTTCTCCCCAGAGAGGTTATGTTTCATTTAATTTCTTTGATTTTCATTAAGATGTCTGATTATAATCTGAAACTGATTTTACCATAATTTGCTTCACCTTGTTTCATTATGTTACTTTTCTCTCTGTTTCTTGAGGTATGTTTACATTAATTCCATGATTTCAACCTTCATTGAATGCTGGAAGTTTTCCTGTACCAGCTGTTTGTAGAAAAAAAAATACAGGGAGAAGCTGAGATGAGCTGGGATATTAGGAGAATTTGCTAAATGGCCTCTGAATACCTTGTCACAGCACCCTGCTGAGTTGGTATGATTCTGTTCCCTAGTTAGGAAAAATAATTCTGGCTCTTCGGTCACAGATATTGGTTGACAATTTACATTTTATTCACCTTCACTTATCCAAGGGCACAGCTCTGCATGTCATCCAGGTTTATTGTAAATCCAGCCTCAGTCACACCCTGTTTCTTGCAAAATTAACCGCTCTCCCTGTCTGTGGGAAGCTCCCTGTACTTGCCCACACATCCTGACCTTTTTCTGCCAATTAAAGCACTTCAGTTTACCCCTCCAGTCGGCCATCTAGTCTGGAGAAGTCCAGGTTAGCTCAAGGTTTGCAGAGCTCAAGTTTCTCTTTCTGAATCCTCCCTTCCCTGTGCACTATTTCCAGTGCAGTCAGCAGCCCTTCTTTATAGACTGTGTTTTCCTTGTTAGTTTAAAGGAGAAGAGGGAATAGATGTATGTTGTCAGTACTATCTTAAATAAGAAATTAACATAATACATTGTTGATAAAATTAGTCGAGTTTGCCCACCACCAGTCAACATTATTACATAAGTTAACTGATGACAGTACTTTAATAACCGGATGTACTCTTTTTTTTTTTTCTTACCACTTTAAAGTTTGGATTTTTTTTTCTCTTCTAATTAAATCCAACAGGTCACAACCTAATATTAGAATTGATCAGCAAAGCTAATGCTTTATGGTGTATTTAATGCCTGCATCCGAAGAGCCTGCATCTTACCAATTCCCTTGCTTTTTTCAGGAAAATTTTTGTTTTTATTCCAAAGATTAAATGTAAATATTAATTTTTTTTCTTGGATTTACCTACGCAGAAATAAATTGTTAGAGTAAGACCTGAGTTCTGTCTAAATAATAAAAACTAATTGATATGGGGCTTTGATGCTACCTATAGGTCTATTTAAACCATTGACCTGAAAATAAGTGACTCTAAATGTTTATTTCTTCACCAATCATCTGAACCATCCAGGCTCTAGAGAATTAAATCATCTAAAAGTGACACATTTTATAACAGCTAGTGGGATTTTTATTGACACCCTCACATGATCAATTCATGGTTGTCACCTTGCTTAAGTTGATCAACCTACTGTGTACGTGCAATGTTGTAATTACCTTTCCTTTTGACAAGGATGCATTAAGTGTGGCTGTAATATGGGAACTCCTTTCAGCTTTCATTAACTCAATATAAATCCAAAGCTTGCAGATTCAGCAGGGCTGTCTATAGTGGCTTAATTGGAATTGCTGGACAAGAACATTGATTCTGCTTCACTCAGGTAAAGATGAAAGTAACTGCAACAATGGATATTGCATTTGAAGGTCATTGAGTTGTAGTCAGGCAAGGGGAGCAGATATTAAAACCTACACACACAAAATAATGGGATTTTTTATTTAGCGTCTCGCAAGTCTTGAGTAACATAGTATTAATTGACCTTGAAATTTCATTCTTTTGTGACTCATTGCATTTGCTTTTGCGTTTCAGATTAATATAGAATATTTTAAAGAAAGAGTAATACAGCCAATTTTAATCTCTGGGAAGTTTATGCCTCACATAATTTATTTGTAGACTTTATGATAATATGTGAATTGAAGACCTCTGTTAGTTTGGGATGAATCTGACATAAGGACTAAAACCACTTCTTCATTAGCCTTTTTCTGATCTCAAATTTACACCTAAGAGATTTTTCACTCCAAAGTCTTCATTTCCAAGCACAGACTGCTGGGTGCTGTGCCTTTCTGAGGTCTCCTCCCCAGCTCCACATCTAGCAGTGCTCATCATGCAATGAATTCCTGTCTGACCATCGCATTCCTATCTTTTGCAAAGTTCACATAGACCCATTTGAGCACACTTCTAGTGGCATACCAAGTTTAAGTGCCAAAGTTGTGTTTTAGTTCTTTCATCCAGAAAGAAAACATCAGCTGTTTCAAATTTTAGAGTCCAGCTTGGACAACAAGAGAATTGTCATGTCGTTGATTGTGTAGTAAGACACAGTGAGTGTCTAGCATTGTAAAATCAGTCTATAAATGAGAAGATGAAGACCAAAAGCATCGGATTACAAACATCTCACCAAAGCCCATTAGCAGGCAGAGAGCTCTCTGTGGAGCTGGAAAATGAGACTTTTCCCTCCTTTCTGCCTCATACATTAATGCTGATCTCAGGAGCTCATTTTTGCACCCTTTGTGGCAGAAAACCATATAATCAAAGGGTTCCCATTGCTAAATCATTTGAAAAGACAAGTAGAAATTAGCTTTAGGTAATTTAACTAGCCTTTGCCCCTCCTCCTGACCCTGAGGGTGACACATACATTTTATCATTCGTCCTCTGGGGACTGGCTTATGCTTGCTCCCTTTCCTTTAGCAGTGATTTTAAGCAACCAAGTTCTCATTACGATTCTCAAATTTAAAATTAAGTTCTGATCACATCTTCTCAGGGCATACCTAAGAGGCACTGCTTGTCCCCAGCCAAATCAATTGTTTCCTCAAGTGACTCATTCCTGAAAATGTTATTGTTTCTAATAACCAGCTCAAATATGTATTTTCACTTCATCTTTTCTTTTACCTCCATTTCACACGTGTTGCTGCATGTCAGGCAGTTTCCACAAGGATCTGTTGTGACATCATTGTGTGAGGTATGAAATTTTTTTTTTTTTAATTTAAGAATTACTTTTACTCAGATGGTGGCTGGACTGGGAAATGTTCCCTGTTGCCCTGGGAGTTTCAGGCCAAGGCTTGTGTGTGTGTGTGTGTGTGTGTGTGTTGGGAGGGTCTCTCATTGCCTATTTCTGCTTATATAACACACACTGGTTTAGGTAAGTGGAGTCAGAATGGGAAGAGGAAGTTCCCTAAGTGTTTCTTGCATGCAAAAGTAAGCGGAGAATGCCCATCTACACACACAGGGCAAGGATGCAGTGGAGTGACCTATCTTTTCCCCTCCAACTCACGTGGTGGAGTTTAAAAACTGTATCAGGATGACAGAAACCAAAGGGCAAGACCGTAGCTTCCTCTGGGGATCTTCTATAAACTGTAAGAACAAACACGGTATTTTGTAGTTCTTCATCACAACAGGTCCTTTGCTGATGATTCTGGGTTTTATGACTGCTGTTTTATGTCCTACAAATAGTAACAGGCATTTCCCTTTGCCCTACACCACAGTAAGCCACTGGCCTAGACAAGAAGCAACTCTGCACTGCTTTTCAAACATCATCCTCCCTCTCGACTGCAGGGACTATTTGGTTTCTATTTTACTTCTGGCCTTTCATATTCCTGATGGTGCATTGGATGAAACCCAGCAGCTAGGCATGTGAACGTGGTTGAAAAGACCCACGGAGGACCAGCAACGCTTCCCCACAGCGTGGGATGGTCCCCTCCTGAGATGGCCCACTGTCAGCAGGACTGGTACATGAGTTGTTTTCCCAGCTGAGAGGATGGGTCATATGACCTGCTTATACTTTTTGTCCTGGTCTCTTTTTAACTAACTACACAATTGTATGATCCCTGGCCAGGGTCCATGACTGAGGACAGAGTTTCCCAGTGTAGATTGTTTTCT